TTGGAGTCCCCCCTTTAACCCCCGCAACCTGGAAAAAAACTTTTGTCATTTTGGGTTTTTTTATTTAAAAAAAAAAAAAAAAAAAAACGTCTCTAATTTATGGTAAAATACTGGCAACTAAACTTTAACCACCACTACCGGTATTTTACCATAAATTAGAGGCTTTTTTTTTTGTTTTGTTTTTTTACAGTGTAGGACAAAGATCCAGCCTGAGATACATAACTAAACTGTCTGTGGCCTTCATTCCATATTTCCTACTTGCTAGATGTAATGATCAACATCATTCACTAGAGGGAGGTATTTCTGTTATTTTAAACACTTAAGTACGCAGCTCAGAGTACATAGTAATGACTGCTTTGAGATTGAGGCTTTTTGTTGAGTAACTGCTGATTTATGTGCAACCTTAACATATAGTTATACTACTCTCTGTAAACTAATGAAATACGTCAAATATCATTCAAATAGAATGGTTTACCAAACTCTTTGTTGAAAAAGGGATTTTTTCAAACCCCTGCACAAGCACAAGTGGCTTTAACTGCTTTGTACATATTTTAGATTTATTAGGGTACGGTATGTTCTACAATTAGGAATGTATAGTTTTGGGTCTCAACTGACCAAAGCAGTAAGTGTAGCTGTAGTAGTAATAGAAGCTATATATTTTTTGTACACATAACCGGAATAAGATGTCATGTTGTTTTTGTTATGCAGCTTCCTCAACCAGTGGTTAGAGTCAACTAGGCCAAGTAAATTACTCAGCCTTTAATATTCAAGGTCAATTTACCTGACTTCACTTAGGATATGATGGATTATTAATCCAAGAGGTAAAGCCATTCATTTTTAACCAAAAATAAAACAGGAAAAAAAGCATAATTTTACTCAAATATGTAAACAATCCAAAGACTTCAGTGATGTTTAGTAGAAAACATGTTTAAGCTTTTATTTCTCAGATTAAACAAGAACATGAAATCTGGGGCATCTAAAAGATGAAAACGGTGTCTTTCTTGGTATGCAATTTACTTTGCTATTTGGTTTTTCAAATTACCAGCTTGTTTATTTTTTCAATATGTGATAATATGATGCAACATAAATGCATGAAAGTTTCATCAGATTTGGATGGTTTTGAATAGCAAATAGATGGCAGAATATAAAAGATTTTATTCTGTGTTGCATCTATTTTCTAGCTTGTGTTTCTCAGCAAAAGCCGATACTGACTTTGTCTGATTTAACTGCGCTCCCTGTTAAACACATTCATTTTCAGCTGCATTTTTAATTTGTCTGGCTTGCTGTTTCTTTATCAACTCATTGAATATATGGGTTTGTATTTTCATAGTAGATATTTTGTTTAGAAGGTTATTTCAGAAATAGTGTACTTTTATGAAGACCTGTAGATAAATATGTAAGAGAATTTTGGATTCAAATTGCGATGTATGTGTTTCTTGAGGATTGTATAAATACAGAAGATGTAACTACATTCTCCTTTAGCCTTATGACCAATCTGTAATTAGATTACACACTTATGGGAATTGAAAGGTTAATTTGTTTACAGTTGCTGGTGACTCATTTGGTACAAATGCTTCTTCTCATGCATTCACATGCAAACATATTTGATTAGATAGCTGTAGTTTTGATTTGCATGAAATATTTTTATTAAAAAAATAAATGAGCAAATCATTTGGAAGTATGTTCATTATTTCATCACAAGGAAGAAAAATCTAAAACAAAGCTGAATTAGGTTTTATCTGTTTTAGTTGGGGTTGCAGTAGCTAAAATAGACAAAGTGAAGCAAGTCAAGTTGGAAGTTTTTATTTCTACTACAAACCGTAACCAACAGATGCAGCTTCAACTACCTTATGAGGTAACTAGATGTTGATCAAATATTCTGTAAAGAAATGAAGAAA